ATTGAAAAATCTCAGTTTTTCTGTTGTTCAGTTAGGGTTTATAAACCTAAATGGAAAACAGGTAAATATTAGTATGGGATTTCAGTGACTACATACATTTACATGGTATACCCAACACATACAGTGTGTGATTATATGAATATTAATTTTTGAGTCATGTGTTTGTTTGTATAACTTTAAGTTTTTGTGACAGCATTTTATCTAAGCCACATTGCACCTTAACTGAGATATACCCCACCCTGAATTTGATCTTGAAAATACTGTCTACCAATTTGCTCCAGAATTGACCAGGTCCTTAAACATGCACATTTAACAACATCTAGATTTAAAATTGCTGTCTTGACCATTAACAAACATCATGCTTTCTTATTGTTCATAATGTTTGGCAGAACAAATCAATGTATAACACAGTGCACATGATCTACAAACCCTGCCATCACTTGTGTGTCAAAGAATAATATCTGTATTCAGTCATCTGGGCCAATAAATGAGAGTCACTTAACAAGGTTGTCAAAACAACAAGTGGCAGATGGGCAGCAATGCACTACTTTGACAGGTAAATTTACACAGCAAACTTCTTCCAGATAGATTAATTGTCAAGGTCAATTTGCAGTGATTGATTAATGATTCATTTGGTGGAGGAAGAAAATAATTGAAGTTTGGGGTTGAAAGGGGTCAAAAACTTGCATTTAATCATGGACTGCTTTATAAAATTATTATCATTAATTAACTCTAAACATTCCCTGCATGTCAGACAATGTGTGATGAATCACTGCAGAATCATATTTGTCTAGAGATTTAAAGTGAACCTTACTAAATTTACAACTTATAAGTACATGTTGTGCCTAAGAGTAGACACCGGAACAGATACCAGAAGGTGCCTGTTATTACATTTATCAGTCAGACAAGCCTCTCTGATTTACTTTGTTTGTGAGGTCTAACTTTCCTTAAATATGCCATCATCAGGTCCAGTGAGGATGCCTAATCTTGTCAAAGGGTACTCTTAAAGTGGACCTCTTCCCCCTTTCACAAAAAAATCACATCAGCATGCAACTCTGCATGCTGATTTAAATCATTTTACATTTATTAGTTAAACAAACTTGTTTTTCAATTACTTGCAAATAGAGTTAATCTATTTCCTGGTCCACTTCTGGCACTTCTGTAATGAGCCAAAGTGTTGCATCCTGGGAAGGTAACATCAGCAGAGCATTGCTAGGAAGTCTCAACTGTAATCATGAGATCTCAGGGAAAGGCATTTTCCTCTGCCGTAGATGATGTGCATGGTCACATGTCCTAGTCACATGTGCCAGACTTCCAGGAAGTAAAGGGTGAGCTAGTAACCTGCCCTTAGAAAATATAGCCACTTTCAGAAGACTGGTGAAGAAAAGAGAAATAAGGTATGCAAAGAATACAAAGCCGGCAATTATCTAGTATCTAGTATCTAGTGTGTGTTTGTAGAATGTCATTACTAAACATTTCTAAAGGTGTTTTTGTAGTTATTTTAAAGATATGGGCAAAGGTCCACTTTAAGATGGGTATATACGGTTATAATTTTGTTCAGTTTCAGAATGCTTAATTTTCTAAAAGTTAATGGGGTCAATTGAACAATTGGTTTTAGGGAAGCATTTATGAGTCTTTGCAATCCCATTCCCATGTGTATATGAAACCAGTATTATGTATTATAAGATGTCCTGGATAGTTTTTAGTACACTTTAGTGGACAGCTTCTAGATTAGTTACATTGTCAACCTTTTGCAACCTCCATTGTGCAATTAACATGTGAAAGTATTTTCTCCAGTAAGTAGTCACAGTATTTCTTTTTCAAAGCAAAGAGCAATGTGAATTAGGCTATAATAAACAGGTTTCATTTCTGTGGCTGCATAAAGCTGACATTCAATTGGTTGTTGTGTAGTACTTCTTTTGGGGTAAAATCTATTTTTGTGATGCATTATTAAGCCATCAAAATACACTCAGTTTTATAAGAGCCTTTCCCATTATTTTGTGGAATTTAATTTTAATCCTACTAATTAGAGGGAGGAGTTGAATGTATTGTAATGTTGCAAAATTCTCCTTTATTTGCGTTTATTTTAGGTACAGTAGCTAATTTATCTGAAGCTCCACTGTGTGTCTGGTCTGAATAACTATTCATCACAGAAAGGTCTCACACTTGGCTGCCTTTAGTGTTTTGTTAAAATGTCTTTCTAAAGAATCCCTAGAAACCTCCCGGGAGGAGATACTGAGTGCAGGGTCAGTGTCTGATAATGACAGAAAGTTGGCAAGTACAGACATTCAGTTCCCTGTGGTAAGAGACGCTGTTGCTCACAAAGTAAAGGATGCATAGTATGTGTGTGCTGAATGAATTGGAATAAAAACTTAGAAACACACCATTTGGTTGATAAATGTACAGTCTCTTCATTCATCTAACTTTCCAATTGTTAGAAGGTTTGCTAATAGACCACATTGCTTGATGGAGTTAACATGTAACTGTGACCAGTTCAAATGATAGTTTCTTGACAAGCAGTAAATGAGCTTTTAAATGAGCCCTTACTGACAAATGTAGCTGCAGGCACCCTGGAGCATCTTATCCTCAAATTTCACAGCATAAAGCACTGAAGTCATTTTTTAAGCCACCTCAACTCTACCTGTTCCAAATCCTAGTTGCCTTTTGGACTTTTAATTTCTTATGTAAGCACAGAGCAAGTGCTTTGAAAGGGGTATCAGAGTACGCTGAGTAAGAATTTAAAGCACTTTATCCCTTCTGCTGTGATAACTTGATGATAACTTGCTCCATGATGCCTGCAGTTATTGGTGTCAGTGAGGGCTTGTTCTAAAGCTCAATTACTGTTTGTTAAGACTTTAATGGAAATACTTGAATGTCTATAACCTTGTCACAGGTCTACTTTAAAGCATACCTTTGGATGGGCAATCATTGGCAACATGATAATGTAGGAACAAGTAGGTACCCACAGATATAGTTTCCCAAAAAGATGCTCTACTACCCTGAAAATATGTGGTTCTATATTTGAGAAATATTCTCTGCTCTGTAGTCTGCCCTATGTGCACTTCTTTCCTCCTCTTGGGCGGTGAGGATGCATAATACCCTTTGTAGCCAGTTGAGAGTTTAGGAGAGTAGGAAAGATAGACTACACGGTGACCATGACCGATCTGGATGCTTTTTTTGGAATTCAGTGTGTGGGGCACTGTGAAGAAATGCTAGCCTTTAAATTTGTGTTAATCAGATCACCCCAGGCAAACATATAAAGTGGCCGGCTACAAGTGTGCCGGCTCCATACACAGTCACATAAAGTGCACTGTAACATGTATTTTGCTGAACTGCATGAACTGTATGATTAAGGCTATTGGGAGAAAAGTTTCAGGGATCGGAGTGACATCTGATGAGGGCAAGAATGTCTGTCTGAAATCTGGCACCAGTTGCTGCAGTTCAGCAAAACCACAGCGGAATATGAGTTATTTGTTTGTATGCTGTTGTAGCCTGTAGCTGGAAGAAAGGGTTTGCTGTAATATCTTGCCTCCCCCCTTCATATACTCACCTTCTCTTGCCTCCTCCACTGATCCATTCACCATCAAAGCAAAAGGAATCTAGTATTTCCACATGTTTAGATCATGTGACGTAGTCCCTCGCTCCCTCCAGTGTGACAGCACTGGTTCTTTGTGGTTGGCCCAGCACTGTCATGTAGGTGCAGGAAGACAGCCCTCAGCCCTGCACAAGTGCAGATGAGGATCCAACTAAAGCTTAAAGAGGATTTTTTCCCTCACTCCCAGCAATGAAAGGGTGCAGCAGAGAAATAAAGGAAGGTAAGAATCCGATGCTGTGGTGACCAGCTTTAAAGTAAAAAAAGATTTATAACGTCAGTTTTGAAACTTTTATAATTAAAATTGCTTTAAAGATGTGTACATACTGTACATGCTTCAATTAAATTGTATTGTTTTACCTGTATATATACCTTGTGATCTAGCATGTTAAGGAGTCTATGCTAAATACTTATTGTTTTTTATTTCTGTTTCAAAAAATTTATTAATAGATAACTGTTCTCAGAAAACCTCTGGGAAAAGTTAAATCATTTTTAACTTTTTGCAATTTTAATATTGTTGGTATGAGATACTCAGGATGGCAGTATGCAATATGCTTTCTAGTAAAATCTAGCAACGAACTTCTATAGATATAAATAGTTTGAGACTCTTCCCCAAAGCAATAATTATTCTAAAACTATGGAGCATGCAGCTGAATTGAATTTGCATTGGTTTTAACGATCATGCTGAATCTGTAAAATGTTGAATCTTCTCTTTCAGAGGCCCTGGAAGTGGTTGTATATAGTTTTTTACTGTATAAGATTGTTGACTATACTGTAGAAATTATATTTGCGTATTAGCCATTATTAGCCATTATTCTACCCTAGGTATATTAAGAAATTAAGAATATTTAAAGTTGGCTAATTCTCCTAAATCATACAAGGTTGTTAATCCTACTTTATTAAGTCAGTGGAAAATATGTAATTGTCAACATATTATAGGAATATGGAATAGTATTCTATACAACCGTTGGAAGAGAAACAGAAAAATTTACAGCCATTGAGAATTCACTTATCATTTTTCTAATGCAGGTTTGAAATATTTTGCCCTGTAAGTAGATGATGGAAAAGAAGATTCAGACTTGAAGTTGGGAAAGTGATTAAAAGAAAGCAGTACAAATTGCATACTGCCTGCTTATGTCATTCCAAGCTACCCTGAAAGTGGGCAATGATCACTTACAACTTTGAACACCTTCAGATCCATTATTGGACCTCATAATGTATAGACACTTGTTGATTTTAGTTTAACGTTTACAATCTTCAATCATTTTGAACTTCTTAATAAATGTTTAACAATGTCAGAGTTTGGCTTGCAGTAATACATGTAAAGTTCTAGTACTATGTGACTTTAGAAAGTACTGACACAAAATGTGGTTAAACTGACTCAGTTATGTTGTTCTTTACCTTCTAGGTGACCATCACATTGTCCAGCTGCAACTTAAGTCCAAAGAAACTGGAATGACTTTTGCCAGCACCAACTTTGTCTTCTACAACTGCAGTGTTCACAACTCGTAAGTACGGACTTCAACTTGTGCCTCAAATGTTTTTTACTTGATGTAATAGTAATGAAGAAATATTATTTTATATTTTTATCCTTATGGATATGTATATGACTGTATTATATATTATTATGTATTTGCAAGCCCTTTTTGGGTCATATTTGAAGGATACCATCATCTTCCTTAACCTCATAAGGACCCTTTCGCTGCCAAGGCCTTTTTTTAGTTTTTTGCAAACATGAAATAATCCGCATTTTAGGCCTGAAAATTACTTTGAACCCCCAAAACATTAAATATTTCCTGAAAACCAAAACTCGGTAGAATAAAATAGTGGCAGTTGCACATGTTTATATTGCATGATATTGGTGCAACTCTTTATCAAACCCAAAAAGTTAGTGACAAATACACTTAAGTTAATTTTAGTGCCCCAAAACACAATAAAATACTCATTTATTTGTATCACATATAAGATGAGGTTACGATGAGTAAATAGATACCTAACATGCCTATGTGAAAAATTGTGTGTGGCCCAAAAAGTCTGTAGACGATGCTTAAAAGCCCCTACAGATCATCAGTTTAGAGATACGGGTAAATATTGGCCCTAGCATTGTTTCTCTCACTGCCGTGTGTGGCGATACCCAACATGTGTAGTGCAATTGACGTTTTTGTACGTAGACGCACCCGACGTATGTTTGCGTGAATGCGCACTTTAACATTTTTTAAATTATGTTTACATTTATTTTATTCTATATTATTTTTTACAACCTTTTTCCTTTACTTTAATTGCTATCACATACGGGTGCTTACAAGCCCCCCGTGTGATAGCATATTGGTGGTGAAAGGTACTCTTTAAGGTGATACTGGGGGTCCAAAAGACCCCTAGTATCACCTTTCTACTTTGAATAAGCTATTGAAGTGCAGACCACACTTCAGTAGCTTATTCCTTGGCTTCAGGAGCAGAGCAGTAACAGCTCAGGGACCGGAAGTGATACAATCCGCGTTGCTCCCGATCCCATAGAATGGGGAGGAAACCGGTGAACGGAAGTTCGCCACTCTCCTCCCCAGCTTTCGGTTGACACTGGAGATGCCAGTCCCACAGGAGGGGCAGCAGAACCCGGGAAACATGGCAGGGGTGTTGGGCAGGGGTGTCGGGCAAGGGGGGTGGGCACATTACCGGCCCATAGAAGTGATCTGGCCGCAGCTGAGCCACCATAATCACTTCTATTGTAAAGCTGACAGCTCAATAGACAATTGTTGTATAGTAAACTCCTCTTAATCTCATCAGAGGCAGGTCACCTAACAGGACATGGATATCAGCATGCAGGCACTCAGGATCATAATTAAAGAAAACCAGCTACTAAGCTATCAGCAGGTGCTGATTTATTCAAGTGTTATATACACTTTTAGAATATTGCTATTGAAACAATTTTTTACCCATGAATATTGTCCTTACTGGGACAGACTTGGATTTTATATCTCCCAACTGCCTCAATTTGGTTTAGATAGTCTTTATTTTATTACCCACAAAGAAATAGGGTCAACTTATTGTATATGGGCGAAGTTGTGTCTTAAAGTTGATTGATCTGGGTGCAGCGTAATGTGCTGATTTTCTTTCTTTTATTGAAATGTTCAGAAACAGTGTTTTAATTAAGCTACATCACAAACATTATTTGGCAGATGTATGCTTTCTGATTCCCGTGCATTGCGGTTCCTGGGTATACCACGAGTTGTTAAAATATCACTGCCCTTTTATTTCTAGACACGATCAGTACCTTATAACTATTGATAGCATATTTCTGACACATCTCTGAATGTGGTAAGAAGACAAATATTACGTATGTACTTGTGTTGTTTTCCTGAAAGGCCAGAGCTATTTTATACATTTTTTGTTAACCATTATTCATGAATTTAGAGTTGTAGATATATGTATTGCAAATTGTGAGACAATTGTTATAGTTGTGAGTTTAATAAAGTACACAAATATTAACTTGAGGTTCTAACTCTTCATATAATACATTATAAAGTGACTCATCTACTAAGTCTATGGAATTATTCTAAAACTGCTGTGGATATAACCTGTGCACATTTTTTTTACTTTACATTGCCATAAAAAATGCATGGGAGTCTAGCCGTTTTGTGTGTATTCTTTAGTCAAAGACACAATGCATAATTCAATATATTTCTCACACCTTAATATAGTGTTTTTGTTCTGTTTATGCTTTGGTTTCCATGACAACACAGACATATGAGTATTTCTTTTGTTAGACTACCTGCCCTTATACCCTGAGCAATATGCTGCTCCCTACTGTTCCATTCATGCCAGCTTTTTTTTTTATACCTGGAGCACAAATAATGCAATATTGGTTGTTTATTGTACCGGATGGATATTTTTCAGAACCTGGCAGTATAATTATATGACCATGTCTGATACCCTGAATATGGGTTTAACATGAAACACAATCCAAAAAGTGAACTTAGCCCTTAAAAATGTTATACCTACCAAAGGATTGGTAATACTGTGCAGGTACTTGTGAGATTGAGACACCCTTTCTAGGCAGTACTGCTTGATCCTTAACCGCTAATGCAGCTGCAGCACTACTTGGTCAAATATACTGGGTTAAAATAAATCTGCATTTTCTTAAATTTGTCTGTGACAGCGTTGCAAAACTAACCAGTGGATGTCATATTTTCCTTCAGCTGTTTTATCAAGAAAACACTTAGCCTCCACGTTCTTTTCTTGTTTCTGGGGGTTCCAATACAGCCCATGGTTTGAAACATTGCCTAGAAATCAGTGAAGAATGTTGTAAAACCATTGGTTATAAACCTAAATTATATTATATTGGAGCTATTGATTGCATATATAGATTTATGGACATGTATACTAAAAAAACTGATAAGAGACTCATCAATAACTGATAGTAAGGTAACTAAGCTTATATGGAAAGCCATTCTCCTACACAATTTATCTCCTACACTAACTTATTTATTAATGACATCGGGGAGGGTGTTAACAGCGATATTTCCATGTTTGCGGATGACACCAAAATTGGGAGGGTAATAGACATGGACTTAGACATTATAACATTACAGGAGGACCTGGATAAAATAGGGGAGTGGGCATTAATGTGGCAGATGAGGTTTAATGTTGATAAATGCAAAGTAATGCACTTTGGAATTAAAAATAAACAAATGGGTTATACAATTATGGGTATGCCGCTAGGGGAGTCAGAAATGGAGAAGGATTTGGGGGTCATGTAGACCGCAAACTGAAAGGTAGCTTGCAGTGCCAGGCTGCTGTAAACAAAGCTAGCAGGGTTTTGTCCTGTATTAAAAAGGGGATGTATTGCAGGGACAAGTCTATAATTTTGCCACTTTATAGATCATTGGTTCAACCTCATCTGGAGTACGCGGTCCAGTTCTGGTCACCAGTACTAAGAAAAGATGTCCTTGAGTTGGAAAAAGTCCAGCGGAGGGCAACCAAACTAATTAGGGGTATGGAGGACCAGAGCTACGAGACAAGGCTACTAAATTTAAACATGTTCACATTGGAGGTGAGGAGATTAAGGGGGGATATGATCTCCATGTACAAAATGTTCAATGGTGGTAGCAACATTAGCGAATACTGTTTAAAATTAACTCAATCACAAAAACTAGAGGCCACCACCTAAAATTGGTGGAAAAAAAATTCCAGGACAAGGGGCGAAGGGGGTTCTTCACAGTAAGATCAGTTAGGGTCTGGAACTCACTGGCACCGATTTCAGCAAATAATGTGGAATTGTTCAAGAAACGTTTGGACGATTTCTTAAGGGACCGTAATATACAGGGGTACAGGTACTCCTAGAATGAGATCCTAATAGGTTGGACTTTATGGACTAATGTCTTTATTCAACCTCAAATACTATGCAACTATGTAACAATTACTTGTGGATGTCATGTCAGTGATAAAGTTAAAAGACGATGCAGGTAGTTTTTTAAACCCCCTCTAGCATACAATATTTAATAACATAGACCATTAGGCTGCAAAGCTAAAGTAAATGACATATAATATATATCATTAATGTAAATGCTATCAACAGAATGATGTTAATAAAATGTTTTATGTACAGGTATTTTCATAAAAAAATTAAATAGCCAATAACAATGTACAGTATTTAAACTAAACAAATAATGTTTATCATTATAACATCTGCTTAATACAATATCTTTCTCTACACCTCATCAATCCAGAATGAATATGTACTGACTTGTATTAATGAGTATTTGTTAGCTTTTTCCTCTGTTTAACATTCTTGTACACTGTCTTATATTCACGGTGATAATTTTATTATAAACAGTTCACCGTTTCTTTTTCCACATACTCCAGCAGAAATAAAGATTAAAAAAATGAAATATTCATTGCAGTCTATGTTTTGACTTGACACAATATCATACAGTATACATTTTTAATTTGATTTATCAGAGTGAGTGCTTGTTATCAATTTGAATAACAAGTATTGCATTGATACTCTATTCTTCTGAGCTTGTTTTATAAAAGAGACATCATCATCCCTTCCTGCTGACTCCAGCATGGCTTTTGGTATAAGCTTTGAAAAATTCTCTGCAAATTGGTAGAAAATATTTGTGCCTACTAATGCAGATGTTGTTCTGAGTATGCCAATAAGATTCAATAAGCTTGGATGTTGTGGTAATCTCATGAGC